ATAATATTCTCAATAACTTCAACTGTCTGGAATGAATCGAATTTCAAGAGTGCTGCTTGCATTTCTTTTTAAACGAATCACGCGCGTCAAACATTTTTATTTTTAAATGTATTATTTAATTTTTATATTCTACGATCGCCTTATCAACTGCGTGTGCGTTCTCTTCAAACACAAAACAAATAAATTTTTACGTTTGAACTATAGAACAATTACGATTTACATGTATATCCCCTTGAGGCAAAAATTTAGAATGTGACTTCATCGCTTCGTCGCTTCAATCGGCTTATAATATTCAGAAGTATATTCTTGACCTGTATTGGATGCTTAATCACTTTAAGCATATCAATTGACGCTAATTCCTTTCAAAAGCTTCCCGTTTTCTGTGACAATTTATAAGATGACGGCGTGACATTAAGAATTATAAAAATTATAAGAAAACATCTATGACGACTGCTGTGCAGGGGCAGAAGAGACTCGTCTACTACGATCAAGTCATTTAGTGTTTTCCCACTCAATTTATCGCGATTCTTTGCCTTTCAATCGGACTTTTGAACGATCTACCTGTAACGAAGGGCCTTTCCCACCATTGAAAATATTTTCACCTTCAGTTGGAATACACACAAAGATTACTCTCTTTCGTCCCATCTCTATCTGTAATCCTTCTTGTCTGCCGCTACATTATCTCCATGTATAGAAAACATATCCTGAATAACTGACCAAATATATATATATATATATTTATGAATTGCTAAAATTACAAATAAAGCAAAATAACAATAATATGGGTTTGCTAGAAAACAAAACTGATGCAATCCGTATTTGCAGTCTTACATCAAATCAATCAGAATATTGAATATTTCAGGCGTAGCTAGCGCATGCGGGCGTTTTCTTCCAAAACTATACTTTTGAATTACCACGGTAACCACGCTTACTCAGAAATGAATACACCGATTCTATTGAAATTTTGCACACATCTTCTAGATACGATTGATTAACTACTGCTTGAACGGTTGCTTGCTTTTTTGGTAAGACGTACACCTTATTTATTGTATGTATTTTTAAACTCAAGTTCCATTTCTTTTTCTCCTTCTCGTTCATTTAACATTAATAAACTCGTTCTCTCTTATGGATAGAAAATATATGATTTTTTTACTTGGTTTCAATTTAAGTTATCACGGATCATCATGTCCACCGAGTAGGCGTCCATTTTTTAAGAAATCTCTGTTCACCACTCCTCAAAGTTGAATTTTTTAAGTTTTGTGAATAAACTTTTTGGCAAATATTTTAATGTATTGCTATTTTACATGCTTAAAAGTGTGCATAGAGTAGACTTTTTATTATATTAAAAAAAACTTCGAAAGCCATGTAACCCGTTAACGAACAAGACCAGACCGATCTTTCCGCATTATGGCGGCCAGTTATTGTAAATTAAATTAAAAGCGTTTTATATACTTTGTGGGGAAGGCAAAACAACAATATGCTCTGTAACGGCAGAAAAGTGAAATTATCGCAAATAAAGAGAGAGAGAGAGAGAGAGTGCAAGAGAGAGGCAGAAAAAAGGATGCCGCTATTAAAATTAAATATGATTTACCCACATTGCCGGAGGATTTAATATTCCTCTACTTCGTATTTATCAGAGGCAGTGTAATACGAAAAATGAAAAAAAGACAGTACTGAGTTTTAATATAATAAAGCTGTTCGTTCCCTGTCTTGTTTTCCGTACGAAATAACCAAAAAAAAATAAAAAATAAATAAATAAATAAATAAGTAAATAAAAAACAAAACAAAACTAACTTATTATTATTAATCTTAAAACAACAATGAAGCTTTATTTAAATAAATTATTCATAAATATATTGACCCCATTGTTCGCACCATTGAAATATGAAATGCAAATAGTTCAAATGATTATGTTAAGAGTATGAGGGACGAGGTGACGACGTTGATGATTTATTACGTACATTTCTGTGCCTTCAGAATAATTTTATTGACTGCTTATCATCACTTTGTTGTCGACATCATCACTCAATGTGTGCGTTCGGAAACGCCATTTAAAAGTGAAATACGTATAAAATATTTACATTATTACATTCATGAAATATTAACGCTATCGATAACCTGCAAATTAGTTAGCAACACTTTGAATAACTTTTCAATTAACTAAAAAGCATTATTTGTGAATTCAGCATTTCCCCGAGATCTCTCCGGCGATATATCCATGTCCATCTTATGGCATATTTGCTATGTTCATAATGCTAAGCAAAGACATTTTAACTTTTAGCTTTAATCAAAGTCTCATATCATTTATATTCAACTTCAATTCCACATCTGCTATGGGACTTTTGGGAAGTTTTAACAATGATTTTTATACCCACCATTGTAAGATGATTGGGGTATACTCCTATTGTTTTTTTAATCAGCGTGAATTTCTAAGTTGATGTAAGTCAGGTCTGTCCGTCTGTGTGGTGTGTGTTCATGGCACTCCCCTGGTCGCAAAAATTAAGATATCGACGTCAATTTTAGTAGCAACATTAGAAGTTTCTGCACCGCATTGGTCAGAGCAGAAGCGCGCGGTAGAGCGTAAACTGAACGCATCCTCGATTTTTTAAGCAAAATTTTTGGCTTTTTGCTCATTACTCGGAAATTTTCCATGTCTACTTTACGAAACACTGTAGTCTTTACGTGCAAAAAAGTGAAAAAAAAAATCGGCCATGCCTACATAAGATTACAAATGATTAAATTTTAATATTTTCACTTTTTTCATATTTTATACTTATTTATCGTAAGGCGGCAAACAAAATAGATTGCTTAAAACTATTTTGCACATTCCTCAAGCGAAGAGATAGTATCCGCCTGAAAACGGGTTAACTCTAAAATGAATATGGTAGATACCACAATTAATTGTTTCTTAATAGTACCAGCGATATGGGTATCAAATAAAAGAATTTAGAGAGAGAAAAGCATAATGCTCACGAGTCCTTAACGCAAAGAAAGACAGAGGGTCTCTATGGACAAGTGATATAAAAATGAAAGTTGCATCATATATTATTACCGACGCGGTACTCCAGGCGAATATTTATGTAAAATCTCCCCAAATATCAACTTAAGAATCATCGCAGATGCTCGTCAACTCAATTAATACGTCCGTCAATGATTCCCGGAGTTACTACACGTTAATTCCAAAACAAGATCGCAACCTGTCGAAATTTAGTGTCATGTCGACGCTTTGTTTACGAGTTACCTCGTTTTTGGTTTTCGTGACTTTACTTTTGTTATTTTCACTACCGTAGAATATTCGCAAATTCATGTGTGTGATGGAAAGAATATCCAGCAACCTCAGTGTTGCTGGCAAGTTTTCTCTGTCGAAAACAACAATTTGTCAGTGGTGTACTGATTTCATCGGTGACGCTGAACGATGTGGACGCTCAAAAGAAGCGGTTGCAATAGGAAATATCAAAATTATTCTCAAAATATTTCTCGATGCATTGCCAAAGGTTGCTGATAGAATTTGACAGCCCAAAAAACAAGGATAGGCAGTGGATTCAACACTTTGCGCTTTGGAATCAAATGGCTGTTACTCTGGAACAGAAACATCAACGAGCTACTGATACCGTGCACTTGCAAAATTGCGTGAGTTGGAGTTAAAATTGCTGCCTTACCTACCTACGTATTTTTCAGACCTTATTCTCAGCGATTATTATCTTCTTTCCTCTGACTTCGGTAAAAGTGGTGAATATCCAGTGATTCGTTCTAACCCATTATCGAAACAACGAAATACAAGCTTCGTTTGATGAAGAACTATTACTGCAACCTGCCCACACGCTTTGCTGAAGACTACGATAGATTATTGTGAGGATAAGTAAGAAATTATATAAACAAAAATTTTGAATTAATCCATAACGGTATCGATTGTGAAATCGACTTCATTTTGAATTAAAGCATAGACGAAACTGTTTATCAAGCATTGAAAAGGAAACGTATTCCTTAACAGAATAAATTTTTCTTACGTACGACTCAATGTATTTTTTGTTGATTCTATTTAAGTCATAAATCAACATACGTATGAATTTATATAGGAATTCAAATGTATGATAACAAGTGCAAATCAATTAAAGAAAATTTTCAATTAAAACCCGCAAGAGAATTGCATGCGAATGCATGCATATGTTGAGTTTTTCAAGCCACTAAGGCAAACGAACGGGACGGCATTTAAGGCTAAAGTTCAATACTCGATCGTAGTTCCCGCAATTCAATACAATTCGATTCAATTTATTTTTATTTTATTTTTTTTCTTTTTTTTTTACGGAAAGTTAGGCCCACTTTCAGTTTCGATTGTCATTTACTGTTACAATACAGCTTCAATTGTTGAAGAATAAGTTGAGCTCAAGAAAGATATCGGATGCGAACTAAGTATCAATCAACTAAACATTGTTGGTTGCAGTAGTTGCAGTGGCAAAGGCGCACTAAAAGCGCAATAAAAAATCTAACGACAAATGAGTTTCCAATAAAAAAACTTATTTACCTCGATAGGTTCAAAACAGTGAAGCACTGAAACAAGATCGCACCCGAAAAGTCTTTCGCCTTTTGTTTTTGCAAGAACGGCAATCTTATATTTATGCAAATGATTTCGTAAATGCAATATAAAAACGATCAGGGTTCGTTGCTTTGTCTAACGACAATGCGATATTTTCTGTTTTGTGCAGAACGGAATGGAAATACTGTGAAGTTTTTATGATAATTTGAGTTTTTTTTCTTAAAGTTTTCACTTATTCACTAATCGGAATGCGAACTTACGATATTATCGAAATGGCAAGCAATTTTGCTGTCCACGATGCAAACTGAAAAAATGAAATCGAGCGAAACTAGGTGTTCTTGTGTGTAAGGTTGCGTGTCCTCTTAAAATATTTCGATAAGAATAAATGTTTTTAAAATTGTCTTGTTCATTTTATTGATGAAAATTCATCCTTGTTTCTTTCACATTTTTTTCTCTCTCTTTTTAGGACCTTATAGTATAGTCGACATGGAAATGTAAGTTTCGATATTTGTTTTTACCTCGAATTTCTTACATCATATGAGAATAAATATATCTGCTTTTCCTTTTTTTTCAATAGAGAGACAAGCGGGGAAAAAACGCCAATGACATGTGGCGAACGTACAAAAACTTTTATTGCCAATCATTGGAAGGGTCTTGTCGTGTTTCTGGTACCTCTTATATGCTTACCTGTGATGTTAATACATAATTCACCTGTAAGTGTTTTATGCGGTCATTTTCTTCCTGTACATTTTGCTTAGTTTTAAAAGAAAATATCACGAAAAAGCTATGAATGAATTTTCGATAAAAAAAAAAAAAAAAAAAAACAAAAATAACTCATCTATAATAATAATTTTGAAACTACAAATTACTTTAATATGTGAAGAAAAGGACTTCAATATGTAAAATAATTGAACTGAACTGTAAGTTACTGTAGCGTGTATGAATACTAAGAAGCTTGTCATTTTTTGCAACCTTTAGGAATATCGTTGTATGTACCTGCTTATAGTTATGGCAATATTTTGGGTAACCGAAGCCCTGCCTCTCTATGTTACCTCAATGATACCCATTGTTGCGTTCCCGGTAATGGGCATAATGGTATGCATATTTGCGAATTTATTGCTTTTCATGCTTTTCAATATTAATTATTTTCTTCTTTTATTTTATTTTTTTATTATTTACATAGAGTTCCGATCAAACGTGTCGTTTATATTTTAAAGACACTCTAGTCATGTTCATGGGTGGCATTATGGTCGCCTTGGCTATTGAATATTGTAATTTACACAAACGTTTAGCTTTGCGCGTTATACAAATTGTAGGCTGCAGTCCCCGAAGGTAGGCAAAGAATATAAAGCTTTCCTTATTTCATTCTTTTGCAGCGTAAACAGTTCAATTGAAATATGTATTTCAATTTAATTTATGTGAATTTTTAAATAGTATGAATATTTATCTTTTCTCTATTGCTTAAATAACCTAAAAATACTCTTTTTCCATAACCTAGCTATTGAACATATGTAAATGATGTTTAAATATTTCAAATTCTAATTAACGTTAATTTTTTTCATTAATGTATGTATATGTTTATACAGCTACTAAGGTATTCGATTATATTGTAACGTAGACCGTTTTTTTATGATTTTACGTTATTTATTTAACTCTTTTTGAAATGAAGGTCATACCATTAAATTGTGATTTCGAAGATAGTATAACGTTTTATTTGCAAAATTACAAGATCTATTTACAAATTATTTACAGGAACTTATATTTTCAACGCTTTACCTCTCGTTCTGCTCTTGTCCGGTTAAATATTCCAATTCAACTCTCTTGACTCGAGTCTCCCGACTCACTTTTCGAATGCCTTTATCATCCGCAAATATTCTACTTATGTACTCTGCTATAAATAAGTTGTCAGTACCTAATTTAATCGGGACATTTTTAATCCATTAACCCGTTATTCTGCTAAATTTCTGCCAATTCTTATTAACCTTTTCGCCAGTCGCCAGTCTGCGTGATGCAGTTAAGACGCAATAAAAGTGTACTTAGTTTTCCCCTTTCTTTAGGATGTTCTTTCTTAGAAAATCGACTAATTTTCATGAAAACTCAAATCATCAATTACGGTAATTTCGTAGCAATATATATCGTTACGCAAATCCCAAATTCAGTTCGTTCCAGTTAAGTAATAAAATCCCTGAAGAGGAAAAAACCAAATGCATATTCGCAGCGCGTCGTGCAACTACCGGCCGAGGAAAACGGATACCAAATAAGCAGGTTAACGGGTTAAAAATGAAGCTATAAAATTAGGTACTAGTAATATGCTAGTGAAGATTTATATACATACTATATTTGTGGAAGGGAGAGTGGGTAGAAAAAGAATTTCGAGTAGAGCAGTCGAAAGTATTGCCAAAAATTAATTGTGAATAATCCTACATTTATGGTAAATAAAAGAACTTGGAAGTGTATTTGGCTTGAACCAAATATTCACGATCCACTGACACGGACTGCGTATTAGAAAAGCGAATTTCATAGCAATATATATCTGTATATGCATATTCTTTTTCCTTCTGCTCTACTATATCTAGATCTGCTTGTTTCAATTTATTTTAGCAGCCAAGTTATTATTTCACATGCCCCGAAATCATTAACTTATAGATAGGCAAGTAGTCATAGAGATACTTAACTTTATATGTTCTAGCGCAATTGTTGTTTCATCGGGTTAATTGCATTACCTAATTGATTTGATGGTCGCAGTGTAGACGCATTGTTGTTAATAATTGATTAGAATAAATGCTCGTTCGTTTTATTTTAGGCGTAAAGGTCATTAACAAAACAAAAGCTGTTTTGTTAAAATAACAACTATTTTGTTAATGAGTACATCAGATCATATTCACTTAGTAGTATTCACTTAGCAGTTAAAAGCGGACTCGCTAAATATTTCATCATTTGGGGGAGTATGAATTAATCAAACCAGATTTTTTTAAACATTTGAAGCATTAGCGGGAGGAGTACACAAGGGAGGAATTGCTCTGCACCGTTTAACGATTCTTTTGCGGGCGAACTTCCATACTTTGTCCGTGACTATCCACCAACCATTTTTTCTTTGACGCTATATATTTAATTTACCATTTTTCCAAGTAGATAATAAAGAAAAGTTTATGGTAAGGTGAGGAAATAATAGAAGTTGCTATCCCACAATGAGAATAATACAACAATAGAGATATGATGTTTAAATAAATAAAAAGAAACCCAGCAAACTTTATAATGTTCTACAAGTCCCTCTGTAAAAGCTTGTCACTCTCCTATCACTACATAAAGGAAATATACTACTATCTCAATACCTAACAGAAAAGTAACGGAATGACGTTGCATTTTTTATGCAGAAATTTGCCTACCTTCTAAAATGACTCGCTCTTCGATCCCATAATGTGTTCTTAACTAGGGGCGCATAATTCAGCGTATTTGCATAGCTGATATCGGCTTTGTCTTCGATCAAAATTTCTGATTCTAATTAAAGTTAGTATGCAGTTGGAAAGTCTAAAGAAATTATTCTTAGGAAACTTTTTGTAAGCATCGAGCTTCGTATAGCGTTTCTTACCTTCATAGTTAATAAATTAATGCAATTGTCTTCACCCCCTGTTGTGTATATTAAGGTAACATATCTTTGTTGCCATCATTTAAAGGCATTGTTAAGAAAATGTCGATGGTTTTGCCAATTGGTTTTATTATAGTCCGCTAGATAGATAGATTCAAAAAAGATGCCATAGATCTCCGACATTCTTAATCGAATTATGTACAAATTATATAACTTGTTATCTAAAAAAACCTTCACACTAAGGTGAATATGTTTTTGACTATTTTTGTATTTGAAATCGAATGCATTAATTTTGATATGATTGATTTGCTTGTTTAAGATAATCCCATACATGAAATATTTAAAATTTTTATATCACGTTTCAAAATTTTTTTTTTGTCATTACAGATTACATTTCGGGCTAATATTTGTTACTATGTTTCTATCTATGTGGATCTCAAATGCTGCATGCACAGCAATGATGTGTCCCATAATACAGGCTGTTCTCGAGGAATTACAACAACAAGGATTATGTAAGATGACCCGAGAACCCGAATATCAAATAGTGGGAAATAATAAGAAAAGTGGTGAAGATGAGTAAGTTAATGAAAAAGTGTTTATAAGTGAATAACTTTTCTAAGCAAATTTTCTAGAACGCCTTATCCTTCCAAGGTGACTTTATGCTATTTCTTAGGCATTGCCTACGCATCGTCTTTAGGCGGTTGTGGTACTATAATTGGTACTGCTACTAATCTCACATTTAAGGGCATCTATGAAAGTCGTTTTCCTACATCTACGGAGACTTTAGATTTTCCAACTTTTATGTTTTACTCGGTACCAGCTATGCTGGTTTATACTGGTCTAACTTTCCTCTGGTTGCAATACCATTACATGGGATTATTCCGTCCTAAAAGTAAAGAAGCGGAAGAAGTAAAAATGGGTAAAGAAGGCGCTGAAGTCGCTCGTAAAGTAATTGATCAACGTTACAAAGAGCTTGGGCCCATGAGCGCTCACGAAATTCAGGTGATGATCTTGTTCATTATAATGGTCGTCATGTATTTTACACGCAAACCAGGTATTTTTCCAGGCTGGGCTGATTGGTTAAATGCCAAGTAAGTGAAAAATCGGATAGTTCTCAAATTTGACAATTTTCTATCTTTATATAAAATTATAGAGACATACGTAACTCTATGCCTACAATATTTGTAGTCGTCATGTGTTTCATATTGCCCGCGAATTATGCTTTTATGCGTTACTGTTTTGGGAGCGGGCCTTTACCCACAACTACTACACCATCTTTAATTACTTGGAAATTTATACAATCCAAGGTTCCCTGGGGTTTAATCTTTTTATTGGGTGGTGGTTTCGCATTAGCCGAAGGCAGTAAAGTCAGCGGTATGGCGACTTTAATCGGCAACGGTTTGGTCGGCTTAAAATCTTTGCCACCCGCGGTATTATTATTTGTTGTTATCATTGTCGCGGTATTCCTAACTGCATTCAGCTCTAATGTAGCAATAGCCAATATTATTGTTCCTGTTTTGGCCGAAATGGTAAATATTTTTATTTCGCATATAAATTGATTTTTTTAGAAATCTTTAATTTTTCTTTTTTAGTCTATTGCCATCGAAATACACCCTTTGTATTTAATACTGCCGGCCGGTCTGGCGTGCAGTATGGCATTCCACTTACCTGTGAGTACACCGCCCAATGCTTTAGTGGCTGGATATGCTAATATACGTACAAAGGATATGGTGAGTTGTAGTAATTTTTACAAATATTTTCATGAGTATTTGTATTAAATGTTTTTTTTTTTTTTGTTAGGCCATTGCTGGTATAGGTCCAACCATTATGACAATGATTGTATTGTTTATATTCTGTCAAACGTGGGGTTTGGTAGTTTATCCTAATTTGACCAGTTTTCCTGATTGGGCTCGAGCTGGCGTCTTAAATGCCACAGTCTAGTTACTCTCAGAAACTACCGTGAGAATTTCAGACCAACATTAGCATTTAATGACTTTACAATAACAATACTATACGAAATAACATCCATATATATAAATATATATTTATATATTTATATACTTATATTTATATAAATATAATTATATATACTTATATATATTTTTATATATATATATACTTATATATATTTATATATATATATATACCTATATATATATAGATAACTCCATTTATAGCGGTAAATTGTATACGTTTTATTTACAATGTATGAACAGAGTAATTTTTTATACTATGTGTACTTTAAACATTTGTGCATTTCCAAAGGCTTGTATTCTTTCCTTAATTTTATTTTATTTGCTCTTTACTATTTTTGCTTATTATTTTCATTTCTTATGTATGTTTTGCTTTTAATTTTTGAGATAATTTATAAATCAAAGTATAGAAAGTTTTGATTACATAATACATACAAAAATAAAACGATGAACATAAGTTTATATAGATTTATAAACAAATTACATGCTTTTATTTTGTAACCTGAAAACAAAAAGAAAAAGTGAGTATACAATATTTTTAAAAATTTCAAGAATAATTTACTGTTAAGCGAATCATAATGTGGACATAACCATCAAATATTACACAACAGACAACGAAACATGGAAGATTTTAATTTATGTTTGCCTTGAGGTGCAAAGGCCCTTCATTTCTGAACTAATAAAAAAGTCTTAAAACAGCATTGAAGACTTAAGTTTGTGTTCACGCTCACCTTTACATCGATTTTGCTCTTCGCAATAACTATATACATATATATATATAGTTATATTCTGTTAGTATAGTAGTAGTAGTAGTTATATTATATATATAAACTTCACCGCATATTTCTATGCATTAGAAACATTTGAGAAATTGAAGTGTGAAATATCAATATCACTCATGAGTAAGCTAATGATTTGAATATTTTGAAACACGCCCTTCATCTTATATGTTTGATGTCATTGTTCCGGATGGCAACTAACAGAAATTTAAAATCAAATAATCTCTGAAGAGCTCTATCTGTTCGACATAAATGTTTTATTAATTCCTAACCATAGGCATACATATGAGTTGAATGTAAATAATCTTCATTTAATTAACATACTTTTAGGGTAAAATGAAATTCCGCATCTAGCAATAAGTTCGAAAACGAATCTTTTAACTTCCACTGATTACTTACTTTTTGATATTGAGGTTGGTGATAGCTTAGCGGGCCTTAATATATTGGATATCAATGCTTCGTATACTCACGAGAGCATCAGAGCCCATTAAAAATCTAAATTGAAAAGCTTTAAAATTGCAAAGAAAAGGAAGGGAAAAAAGAAAAATGATGCGCCCACGAGCTGATTGAAATGGCTTTTGTGCTCAAAAGTAACAGAAGCGATAAAAAAATTTGGGATCAAATTTGTTTTTCTAGATGAAGTCCTGAGATTGTAGTCACGATAGAAATAGAAAACCAAAGAGATTACAACTATGATTAAAATTTATAAAATTATAGTTTATATAATATTTGATGCATAGATCTCCGATTTCATTTGCAGTTAATTTTTCTTATGCCATACTTCAGTAAAATCAGAAAATTGGTTATTTTTAAGAATAGATTGAATCGCATTCGCGACGTGCACAAAGTTTGACTAGGTTTTGACCAAACTGAGAAATAAGATGTAATTTTTTTTCAAAAAAGAAAAGTTACAGGCACAGAGGCAAAGCAAAGTTAATCGAAATCCGATCATAGTGTTTGTGGAAGTTTTTGATTTTCAAAGTGCTGCCGAATAATTTCAGCCCAAGTCCTTATTAATTACACTAGGGTGAATTTCCATCGGCATTTGACGGTTGTAAGTAAAGTTCAGATGTCAACCATATAACTCGAAAATGTAAATATAAATTGCCGAAGAGTTTTTGCTCTCATTATCTCAATTCACTACTTTAACTCGCCAAGGATGCAAGAGCAACCATATAAAAATCAGTGCAATGCGTTTGTATATAAATGTTTTATTATTGTTTTATTTTATAAAAATGTAATAACTTGATATATATAAAAACCAAAAAAAAAAAAAGAATATTGAAAAAAGAATTACGTGTACTTATCTACACATATACGTGTTTATATATATGCATATATAAATATTTTTTCAGAAATTGTTAATGAAGTCAATAAATTGCCGCTAATGCGAACATTGAAAGCAAGAACTATATAAAAAATAAGAAAATCTGAAAAGAAACGTAAAGTTTCGTCTCAATTTTTTTCAGCACGCAACATCTATTATAATATCACCCACACAGAAGGTGGAGCAAAAAAAAAAAAACCATAACCCAGCAAAAGTTCTTATAACCGAAGAAATTATTTCAGGAAAGGAAAATTGAACAGCAAACTGCATACGCACACACATACACACATATTTGTTTTTTTAAGATTTTTTAATTGTTGGGCATCGAAGATTCATTTACATTTTTGACGATTTGACCAAGCTTAGCGCCTCCGTTAGAGCGCGGCCAAAATCAGCATGAACCATGGTAAAGTTTTTAACAGCACGCTCTTGTATAAACTGACTGGCATTACTGAGATGATTTGCAATGTTGTTAACCAAACGTTTGCGTGCACATTCATCCAAAACCTGAACCCAAAAATCAGTAACTTGACTGAAATTATCTTCAGTATCACCGCTGCTAAAACGATAAACGTCACCAGAGACTGGGCAGCAAGATTGTAGGCTGCGTGCTCGAGCGTCGGTCTCTGGACCAGAAAATGAGTTAGGATAATAGTTGGGAGCACCGCCTTGATTATCAGTAACAGTCATGGCACCATCTCGTTGATAGTTTTTAACTGCTACACGATATGGGCAATTAACGGGTATTTGCAAATAATTGGGTCCAAGACGATGACGGTGGGTATCGGAATAAGAAAACAGACGTCCCTGTAACATTTTATCTGGCGAAGGTTCAATGCCAGGCACTAAATGGGCCGGACTAAAAGCAAGTTGCTCTATTTCTGCGAAATAATTGGTAGGATTACGGTCGAGTATCAACTTACCCACCTGAATCAAGGGGAAATCACGATGTGACCAAACTTTGGTGACATCGAAAGGATTGTACTTGAATTTCTTAGCCTGATCAAAAGTCATCACCTGTATAGACATAATCCAACTCGGATAATTTCCGTTCTTAATGGAATTATATAAATCCCGTATAGAATAATCGGGATCAGTTGCTGTCAATGCTTCAGCACGTTTTACATCCAAATTTTGAATGCCTTGCTCAGTTCTGACATGAAATTTACAATAAATAGGTTCACCCTTCCCATTAATCATCTTGAAAGTATGCGCTCCATAGCCATGCATGTGACGAAAACCGTCCGGTATGCCACGATCGCTGAACAAAAAGCACACCTGATGCGTAGATTCCGGTCGCAAAGTAAGAAAATCCCAAAACATATCTGCATCCTTTAAATGAGTTTGGGGATTACGTTTCTGAGTATGTATGAAACTGGGAAAGAGAACTGGATCGCGTATAAAGAAAATCGGAGTATTATTGCCCACTAGATCCCAAATGCCGTCCTCGGTATAAAACTTCATAGCAAAACCACGAGGATCACGAACGGTATCGGCAGAGCCACTTTCACCACCCACCGTAGAAAAGCGTATCGCAATAGGAGTACGTTTTTTAACTTTTTCAAAAAGTGAAGCTGCGCAATATTTGGTAATGTCGTGAGTGACTTCAAAATATCCAAACGCGCCGCCACCCTTAGCATGAACAACACGCTCAGGATACGTTCACGGTCAAAATGGGCCATCTCATCCAAAAACTGAACATCTTGCAAAAGCAACGGACCTTTCGGTCCTACCGTCATCGAAGCATCTTTAATGCCAACCGGATTTCCAGAACCAGTGGTAATAGCACCCGGAGAAACCTGTAATGAAAGCAGAAACGGGTGATAAAATAATCTTACTCTTTAAAAATGACAAATCCTTAATCTTTTGAAAAAATTTTCTTTCTTAACTGTTGTGAGAGTGGAATCGATAGGAGGCAAACCAATTGCAACTACTGCCTATTTTTACTGCCTGTAAATTACGAAAGTCTTTAAACGTTGCAAGCGAATAGGATCGTTTTCAACACAGTTAGTATTAAATGACTAGTTTATCCCTCAAGAAGATATGGAGAGTGAATCAAGTCCCATATAAGAACTAGAGTCAGGCCTGGAAAGTTCAGAATGCCAACTGAATAAAAGATTATCTTTCAGAAATATAATTAATTTAGTACTAGAAATGTTGTCGTCTTGATCCAAACCTCCGCGTCACCGCAAAAAAGAACAAATTTGTTTTTCAATTTCTTTTGAATTATCAAATCAGAGGATGCATAAAAAAATAATGACAACAACAATAATAACAGCCAAAAAAGCAGAAATAGCAGCAACAACAACAATCAGTTATCAGCTTTATTTTTCAACATTTAATGTCATTATGATTGGAATTTCATTTCCCTCTCTCTCCATATAGCTATTTCCGCCGAAAAGTCAAATTTAAGTCCGAGCAAACTTTTGTTATCCCCTCTCCGTATATAGACGATCATCAAGAAACTATAAATTAGATAGCACGTGAAGAAGGATTTGCCAATATGCTAATATGGATAAGAAGGATGAAGGATTGTGTTTCATTTTATAGAACCAATTCGCTGATCACGCCCATTTTCATATTCATTCTACAGCAAGCATTCAGACACAATTTCCGTTCGGCGACTCTCAGAGCTTTGCCGATAACAAAACTACCAAAACCAGTTAAAAAGGATCGATAGATATATATATATATATATATGTCCTGAATGTTACAAAACATCATTATCAGAAGTAAAACGCTTGTAAGTATGATTTGTGTGTGGATTTGTCCGGACCTTATAAACAATGATAGGTTGAAGCTCGCAAACGGTACTTTATGGCAGTTTCCAAGCATGTTTCTGAATATTCTCATAGAAATTATGAAATTAGTAGACTTTCAATTTCTGAACAATAAATATAAAAAATGAAGTAATACAACTACTTACAGATGAAATAAGGATCGAAAATGGATGGACGTGCAAGCTGGTAATACAATGATAACCTCTGACTGATATTACTATGCACTATAAAATGCATTAATTATCTGGCCATCGGCATACGATCGTCCATTTTGTGGTTCCGAAAGTAAACGTAAATAAAACATACTTCTATCTAATGGAAGCTTGGACCAAATTTTTTCTTCAATATATTGTTTGAGTCTTGTCATTATTTATGGAACGCAATATATAGTTGTACAGCGTAAAGCACTTACTAGAACTTATTACGAGAACTATAAACCCACGGAAGCTCACATTTGGTTTCACTTTGGTTTCATTTTACAGTAAACAAGTTCCTCCAAAAATGCCTATACGGGTCATTCCCAGAAAGATCTTGCGACGCAACTCTATTGGGGTTTTTACTCTGGGGTTACGTTGAAACATTAATTTACTCTAATAAACCATGAACTCTCACTAACTTTATTCTACCAAGATTATTCGCATTGTTGGTGAAAGAAGAAAACAGATTTATGTGGGAAAAATGGTGTTCCAACATGAAATAAACACACGTCCACATCTTTGTAGGATCGTATTTTCGCTTAAATGTCTTTGCTAAGTTCGATATAAAAAACAAACAAGTACAATAAGTATTAAAATTAAATAATATTAACAAGCATGCACACATAAAACAAACTAACTCTTTAATTACGATCGCAAAACCAAAAAATCTAAGTTATTGCTACTAAATCTCATCCAAAATGATAGTACAAGCGTTGAAGCAATACAATATCCAAAAAGAGTTATAGCAATTTTCAGAGACATTACGTAACTACAGATTTGTGATATGTCGTGAAAAATGCTGAAACCTACCAGAAAACCATTACTATGTGTAGGCTCTATTATAGCCAAATTCACCCCAAACACGTGCGCTCCATATACATAAGCAAAAACATTATATATTTATGATAGGACATTTCCCAAGCAAATTTGCCCAACAAAATTATTAGTATTAGCCCAAGGCATCCGATAAAAACAAGCGATATTAAAGATCGTAAGAGAGAATGAGAACATTTACTGAAATTTGTACGGCAAGTATGCGTAGGCCTACACTATGAACATGTGCATACTACACTATGACGTTTGAATAGATCTGAGTGAGTGTATTCGCGCTAAGACAGAAATACTTGTACACGGTTGTGGGTAAGTTTGCTTAAGCGGTTATATGCATGCAACAGCAGAAACACTTATATACATTTGCCCAAGCAATTATATGGAACCGCACACGCAAAATTTTTCAACTTTTGCTTTTTCTGTGCTTGGCTCTTTTTTTTTTTTGGGTATACTGATATCAACACCTTTTATATAATAAATATATTTGCCTTTTTTTGGAGAACTAGTATTATATTTCTATAGAATTAGGAAACGACAAAAAAATAAAAAAAAATTAACGCAAAAAATTTGACATAAGAATATGTTTGTAATACTTTTTCTTTTCTACTTTATAATAATAATTTATTGTTCGTTATGTATTTGATTATATTCTTTCTTATGTGTTCCCGATTGTATTCGTTATTATATTAGTTGTCTTCTAGAAATAGTTGTGCTTTATGAATACTCTAATATTAACGTAATGTTAATTCTAGTATTGAGTTAGTATAGCAATGACATAGTAATCGTACACAGGCCTGAAATATTTTCGGGGAAGCACCCATTTAAAATAAATGCTAAAGCGCCTGATACAATACCTCTAGGCTTGTGCGGAAAATTGTACACAATTGTAAAATAAATAAAAAATTGATATTGGTATGATTGGTATTTAGAAAATCGACGACAACGCAAGAACATACATCTAACTTCTTAAGCAAAAGCATGGATAAACGCTCCAGTACTCGCATAGAACACTCGCATACCGTTTTATTCAAACTCTGTTCTACTGTTGTAAATATATGACCGTAATGTGTAATCTGAGACATACATGTTGAACAGAGTTGAAAACATTATGTATATAAGATCGATCATTAGCAACATTATTGCAACATTTTGCATATAGTGTCTTATTTATATGGAGAGGGCATGTTTGCGGCGAGTTTGGCGATGCTTGCACATAGTGATGAAATTAGGGCTTTCTGATACGTTTTAGCGTCTTTTTAAAATATATCAAAAATCTGTGTTCGAAGAAATTTTTTCAAATTTTTTATAAACACTTTGTGTATTATAAATTTTCGCCAATAATATACATGCGTGATATAATATTAATAATAAAAAATTTTTTTTTTTGAATTTTCTATACGTTTTCCGTAGTAATTCTTGTTTTATTTATGTTATGTAAGTATTTTCAATTTTTGTTTCGTTTGCTAATTATTTTGTTTCTTCGTTATTATCATTCAATTATCAATTACCTAAGTAATGGCGCGAACGAGTGTGAAGATACCACGCTTTTTAGCAAACAGAAAAATGTAGCCTACGTACGCCAGTAAGTTATATCCAATTGAATTGAAGGGATGAACCAATATTTAAATTAAATTGATATCTTTTATTGCTTACTTTTTATTAAAAATTAAAAAAAAAAAAAAAAAACTTAGTTGACGACTCTATATAACGCCATTTAATATATTATATT